ACCGCCGCCAGCTCCTGGTTCTGACCCTGACCCTGGCGCCTGGCCCTGACTGTGGCCCTGGACCTGGCCTGCCCGCCCGCCCTTGTGTCCACCCAAGGCCGTCTCGTACCGCCTACCCTTCTGCTCGCTTTGAGTGCCATTAACGGCCATCGTCAACTACTTACCAATCCTCCCTCGCACCTCGCAGCCGACGCTTTTCCTCTTTCTTTCCCTCTCCAGGTCCTCGACATTCGTCCACCTTTCCGTCTTCTATCGGAGCCGACCTCTTTGAGCTCTCTTGACCGGCAGATCATACATCGGCCCAGCAACAACCACAACGGTTCTGAATACCGGAATACCTTCCCCACAACTCTGCGTTCAGCGCTCCGCCGCCTTGCGCTCGGCATTCAACCGATCATCGGTCAGCAAGCGCAACAAACGCACTGTAAACCGGCAACTCTCGAAATCGCAGAACCAGGAACGGGACAGACGCAAAGCGTTTTGTGCATCTTCGCCTCCTCCTGCTCCTGAAATCGAGCTCCTCCAGAAGGCCGGGAACCCGTCACCTCGGATCTTGGTTGGCATTGGAACGGACTGCATTGGCTCTGCGATAGCCCACAGACGCTCCCACCCAAATTCGCCGACCTGGTGCGCCGGATCCCCCCAATACGCACCCTCCTCAGAGGAGGCTGGTTGGCTGGCTACTCCAACCTACCCAGAACAGACTCTGCCCAGCTCTCGACACTACGTCCCGCTAGACGTGAACGAACGCAAGCAGGCGCAAAGCCAGAGGCAGGGGGAAGAAAAGTCAGCGAAGAACCGCTGGGAACCACTTTGCTGCAGCCAGCAGGGTCAGATCAGGGCACGTCTTTCATCATCGACCATTCATCGCCACACTCCCCTGGCAGTCCTTTTCTAGAGCCGCCTGCCCCTCGCCCTACCAACTTGTCTCTCTCCTCTTCGTCCTCCACTCAACCACGCTACCTTTACCGACCGTACCGTAAAGAGTACTCATACCGGCCTTACACCTTGTCCAGCAAACCACCCCACCCCACCCAGGCCCAGGATTCATTATCGACTCGCCGTCGCATTTCTACCACAATTCGTCCACCTTTACCTCTTCACCTTTGTGGTTCACGACATCTTTGTGTGTCGCTCCTCGAACCTAAGCTGCCGTCAGCACCGCCCACAGTTTGGAAGAAGAACCCCTCGCTTCCGGAGATACCTGAATGACTTGATATAACCTTTTTCATTCTCTTTTTTTTTTCTTCTCCCTCTCACCTCCGCCCTCCAGCCTTCTCCGCCCGCACAACTTCGGCTGAAATAACCCTCAACCAAGCCTCCGCAGGCTCTTCTCTCCGCACGTTCCGTATTCGAGTGGTCTCCCAGCCTCGCAAGCTTGCGTGCACACTTATTTGACGGTTGCGATATCCCACCGGATCGCCGCCAATACTGCTTGCTCACGCAGGCTCTTCAATACACATCATGGCTGCCGCATTCAGACCAGTTAATTCGCCGCTTCCCGCTGAAGCCAAGGCTGACGACAAAATGACGACGTCGCCCACTACCCCGAGACCCAGCACCGCACCGCACCCTCAGACGCCGCAGACTATCCCAGAGGAGGTGAAGACGCCAACGAAGGCCACCTTTGGCAGTGGCAGCGGCGGGTTGGCATCACAAAAGCCGCTGCCTAGCTCACCATTTCCGCAGGCTGTCCAGGTCCCCGAGAGTGCCGAAAAGGTCAAGACACCCACGAGAGCAAACTCGCAGCATTCAAGGAAATCAAGAGACTCCGAGGACGTCGACATGGACGAGTCAGATGGCGAGGCTGGCGAGGATGGCGCAGGGTCAGACGATGACAGCGTCAATGCCGACGGTACTAGGTCCAGCAAGAAGAAGAAGTCGCAGCGATTTTACTGCACCGACTATCCACCCTGCAACCTGAGCTTCACGAGAAGTGAGCATTTGGCGAGACACATTCGGTAACGAGAATAACCCCACCCTCTAGTTGCACTAGTTGCTGATCGATCTACTTAGGAAACACACTGGCGAGAGACCATTCCAGTGCCACTGTTCGCGACGGTTCTCCCGGCTTGACAACCTGCGACAACACGCACAGACGGTGCACGTTAACGAGGACATCCCGATCGACTCCCTGGCAGCCACCGGCGCGCGATTCCAAAGGCAAATGCGCACCGAGCGCGTACGTCAGCAGGGTGGCAGAGCCCGCTCGTCAACCGCTGGCAGTGCATCTGGCCCGGTAAGAGGACACTCCAAGTCCCTGTCGACATCCAGCATCGCCAGCGTCGGCTCCATCGGCCCTGCCTTTGGTGGAGTGAGGGACGATCTTCGCCGACGGCCCCCTCCCCTGGTCATGGCCACCGACCCCCGGTCTCGACTTTCCCTTGAGTCGTACCGAAGCGATGGTCCTTACGGCTACCGCCCTGTGTCGCCGACCGAGTATGGCACGCCAACTTCCGCAACGTTTTCGACGACTGGGCAGAGCAGTCCGCGATGGTCTGGTATTGCGTCTCCTACCACCTCCCACTCTCGTTCCCAGAGTATGTATTCTTCGGGTTCCAGGACTCCAGGACGTCGTCTCAGCGTTCCCTCGGGTGCAAACCCCTTCCAGTCTCCTCACGGAGGACCGGTCAACCGGGTCATGTACGGCGGCCCCGTGAACGCCTCCAACAACGGTGCCTACTCCCCGGCCGCGAGCAGCCATCTGGCCTCTCCCACAACACCGACTTCGGGCTGGTCTGGCCGACGGGACTCGACATCATCCAATGCCGATGAAGCCTGGCGCCGCCGCACCTGGCACCCTGATACCAGGAACTTCAACACGAACACCAGCCACCTCAGCAACGTCCTGACGCCCGGCCAGATCCAGCCAAACCCGGCACCGCCCATCGCCAATGTGACAAACCAACAGCAGACCCTGCGACTGCCTGGTATTGAGTCCTTTGACCCGCTGCCATCCCGACAGATTTCGCCGCCGAGGCGCATTCCGTCTCCCATGATGGTGGATGAAGCCGCTCACCCACCGGCGCTTCTTCCGGGATCCGATGCGGCTGCCGATGGCCGAAGGAACGTCGCACAATGGGACATGGGGCTTCATCGAGGCCTCACGAGACTGGACATCACCAACACGACGCCGCCTCGCGATAGCGCCGGTGCGTGGGCGAATGAGGTGAACCAGGCGGTGCAGGCACAGGCAGAGCAAGTGCGACTGAACCCACCGACTGTGCGGTTTGAAGTTGAACCGCCGTCGTACTCTAACTCGAGCGCGTTCACTCGCAACCACCACCACACCATGTCGATGCCTTCAATCGCATCCAGAGAGACCAAGCGACATGGTTGGTACCATGGACCCACCAACAGCCACGTTCATGGCCCTCGACCCGAGGCACCTATCCATGAGCCCCGTGGTCCGCACGTCAACAGAATGATCCACCCCAACATGAACCATTTCACCGGCTTCCCTGCCAGGCAGGCCGAGCCGCAGCCACCCCAGCAGCAGCAGCCGGGCGCCGATCGGACTGGCAACCCCGATCCCCTGAGGCGTCTGGAGGCGTTGGTTGCCGTCGCCACTAGCGAAGGCACAACCGCCGCGGCCTACTAGGCCGGCCAACTATCATATATCACGAATCTCTTACCATTCTCCACGGCATGGTTTACATACGCTACGACTGATGACTTTTTCATATCTACATGTCGGCAAGGAGCATCGAACACTCTGCACGATATACGGTCGCTTTTCACTCATGATATCCCGTTTTACCGGTTGGTGGGCAATTTGCATCTTTTTCTCCGTTGGCGTTGTTACATAGCGTTGCTTTGGTATGTTTTCGTTGGGGCGTCGCCGCCCGCATCTCTCAGCTCACCCCGTTTCTGTCGCTTATTTCTGTTATGGTCTATCTTGATATCTGGACTTTTGTCCGCTTTCTGTCTTGTTTCGGGGCCGGTTGCGAATGTTTCTCAGTTTTACAGTTTCATCTAGAGCTATATGTTTGGCCTTTTCTTGATTCCCCGTAACGCTTGCTCACGATCAATGAGATACCCACTCATTATGGGATGCTGAGGTGGTGGATAGTAATATGTCGCTCTTCTGGCGGTTGGAGTCGGGCATCTCATGTCCGCCTGCGAGCCCGGCTGGGCTGGGAACTGGAAGGATGGACAGGTGGGCTAGATACCCGAGCTTGGTTTTCCTCTAGTTTGCGAGACCAGGATGATGCTCAAGACTTTTTTCTTTGGTGGTTGATGGATGGTTCCGAGGCCATCGCATGAGGGCGGCATACATCTGTCTGTAGGGCGTACAATTGGCAGGAATAACGACGCATATGCTTTGAAATGGTTCCGTTTGACACATGCTTCTGTGACTGTGGTGTATTCGGTGCCGTCATAGTGCTTATCGGAAGATTTATTTGCTTGTGATCCAAGGGCTCTGCTAGGCTTGAAGAAGATGGCCAGAGGTCTGCCAGCCTTTATGCATGATGATGTTGGCGTCGGCGGTAGTGGATTGTTCTGGAACCAATCAACGGCGTTGGCGTCTGGGCGATCCCAGAAATTGTCGCGGGGTTAGGGCGCTAGATTAGCTGACGCCCCGGCTGCAACTGGTGGCGGATGAGGGGTGTTATCCGGCCTGCTGGGAACGCCGATCGGTCCCGTGGTTCCACCCCCGCCTGCCGCGCCGTTTGTGGGGCCTTTTCGGAGTTGGTCTGGGATTTGGGCCGAGAGCGCCGGGAGAGGGGTGGTGTTCCGTGGAACTTGGGGGATTGAGATGTAAGCGCTGTGTTTCAGGAAGCGCTTTTGGTGCTGGGATGCTGCAGAGGTGATGGCATATGCGGGTTGGTGAGGAATGTGTTGCCAATGTGAGACGCCGCGGGGATGGGAAGGCGGTGAGGCTTGTGCAGTTGGGCAGATATTCCGAGAACTAGATCAACATATCTGGATACTTTCTTGAAACAATTTCTTCTTATCTCGCAGACTTGTGCACTTGCTGGTTAATGTTTCCGAAAAGAATGGAGATATCACTGAAACTCGCCGCCCTACTCATATCCCTCCTCACCCTCTCCCTACCCGCGACCGCAGCCGGTGCTGGCATCTCACAATGCCACCCCTCCAAGTTCACATTCCCCCCTCTCCCCGGCGCATCCCACGTCCGCACCACGGCCGCCGTCGTGCGGGACTACACCGGACACCCGGGCTGGATGCCCGACGCGGCCGTCTCCGTCCCCCCGTCCGGCGTGGCGCCGTTCTGCAACGTCACGGTCTCGTACGTCCACCCGGGGTATGACTTTGTTGTCAGTGTGCACGTCTGGCTCCCGCTGGACCGGCAGGCGTGGAACGGGAGGTTGCTGGGCGTTGGAGGGGGCGGGTTTGTGGCGGGGGACGTTGATGGGGATTTCATGGCTGCTGGGGTACAGGAAGGGTATGCTGTTGCGGCGACGGATGGGGGGCATTGGAAGGGGGTGCCGGTCAAGCAGTGGGCGCTGAAGGGGAGGGGGAATTTGGATTGGGATAGGTTTGTGGAGTTTGCGTATCGTGGGGTGGGCGAGATGGGGGACGTTGGGGGTGGGATTGTGAGGGAGTATTATGGGCAGAAGGAGGGATGGCGGTATTTTGCTGGGTGTTCGACGGGGGGACGGCAGGGGTTGGTGCTGGCGGCGAGGGATGAGGGGGGGTGGGATGGGGTGTTGAGTATGTGTCCCGCGGTGGATTTTCCTGCTGTTGTGAGTGGGATGATGCGGCCGCAGGTTGTGATGGCGGAGATGGGGTGGTGGCCGGGCGAGTGCGAGGTGAGGGAGGTTGTGAGGGGGGTGGTTGAGGGTTGTGATGCCGCGGATGGTGTTGTGGATGGGATTATTGGGAGATTGGGGGAGTGCGAGGTTGATTTTGAGGCGTTGGAGGGACGGGGGTTTGAGTGTGGTGGTGAGAAGGGACGGATTGACGAGCGGACGGTGGAGGTTTTGCGGAGGGCGATGAGGGGGCTGGAGGATGAGGAGGGGAGGGTTGTGGAGGGCGGGTATGGGTATGTTCCTGGGGCGCCGCTGGTGGGATTGCTTGGGTTGATGAATGTGAGGTGTGATGACGATGGGGAGTGTGAAGGGGAGCCGTTTGAGGTTGCGGAAGACTGGATTAAGTACTTCGTCAAGAAGGATCCCGAGTTTGACGTGGGGAATATGACGATGGAGGAGTTTCGAGATGTGTTTAGGCAGGGCGTGGAGGAGTTCACGTCGACGATTGGGACGTCGCACGATTTGAGGAGGTTCAGGCAGCGCGGGGGGAAGATGTTGATGTGGCATGGGATGGCGGACCAGACGGTGATGGTGCTGGCGGCGAGGGCGTTCTACGAACGGGCGAAGAAGCTTGAGCAGAGTCGCGGAGTTGAGATTGAGCAATACTGGAGGTATTTCGAGGTTCCAGGGATGAGCCATTGTAGTCCGCTCTACGGCGGGCCGTATCCGTGGGATGCGATGGAGAGGTTGCGGAAGTGGGTTGAGGAGGGAGTTCCGCCGCAAGATCTCGAGGCGAGGACGATCGAGGAGGAGGACGGGAGGAAAGTGTTTGGGAAGGAGGTTAGGAGGGTTTGTATGTTTCCGAGGGAGGGCGTGTGGGATGGAAGTGAGTGGCAGTGTCTTTTGCCTGGTGAGAAGCTGGATGAGAAGAGAGAGGAGCTTTAAGATGAGCAGCAGAATGGATATCATATTCGTCAAGTCTCATTTATGAACCATTTATAAATAATTGAGAGTCTTGCTTTTCGGGCGGATGATTCGGAGTTAATCAGGAGGAGAACTACCTACATTAAATCAACATTTTGTTTTATCTAAACAATTCCACTACTTCTATCGTCCCCATCGTTCCCATTGTCGCCTTGGTATGCCCGCTACCCGCTCGGGTAGCAAGGAATATTTGCCCCGATAGCAAAGCTCGTAGTCGATACTCGGAAAAAAGACAACGAAGGAAAGTCTATCTTTACGCTTGACTTTTGTATCTGCTTTTCCCTTCATGAATGAAGACATTTGAACCTCATAAGCTTGTCTCACGCTTAAATCTTGAAGCGGCATCATTCAATATCCCATAGCTCTCGCGCGTTACTCCGGAAAAGCTTCTCCCGTAGCTCCTCGTTCCCATCGCACCACCGCACCACCTTCTCCTCAAACGGCTTCGCATCCCATCCCCGCAATTTCGTATGAGGCCAGTCCGAACCGAAGACAACTCCCGCTCCGTTACGCATGCGAAAAAGCGCCTTTGTCAACGACTCCAAGTTGGAGAAGTCTGCATCTGCAGAGAACAGATACGGGGCGGATATTTTGACGTAGACACTAGGGTCTTCCATCATGCGACACAGCGCATCCCAGCCTGGCTGCTTCGACGGGTCCAGTGGCAGGAATGCTGGAGAGCCGAAGTGCTCAAGGACAACCTTCACCTGGAGTTCGGGGATCAAGGGCTGGACGTGGTCGAAGATCTCCATGTCGGCGTATAATCCGATCGACCATGTTTTCAAGGGCCGAAGCTTTTCGGCGTACTTGCGTAGCACGTTCCGGATCTCGCTCTTCGAGAGAACAGTCTTGGAAGATCTGAGGTTGACTCGAACACCTCGGACACCAAGATCGTGCCACTCTTTGAGAGTCTGCAGGTCGACACGCTCCGGGTCAAAAGCGACGACACCACGCCCCCTAGCCGGCCCCGTACGTTTGAGGGACTCTAGCACCCACGTATTGTCGTTGTCGTACGTCGATAGCTGGACAAAGACCATGTTCGGCAACCCGAGGCGGTCAGCGTTCTCGAGTGCTTGGCGCATCGTCGCCTCTTTAGGCGGCTTGATGCTAGCGGCGAACGGATATCTGATGGGGTCGATGATGTGGACATGACTATCCCACGACCCTTCTGGAGGGATAGGCTTGGATGAGGAGCTGAAGGCTCGACACCGAGATGGCCCAAGGAGGTTAGGGGTAACCCAGCGCCTGCGGGGCTTCAGCGCGGAAACATTTCTCGAGTATGCGCCACAGCGTATATGGCCAAATGCTGCCGGCATCTTGAACTTTCACTATTTATGGAATTGCTTTGAGTCTTCAATGGCGTAGATTACGCGATGCAGTAATCACGCAGGACGGAGGTGAAGACAAAACGATCAGCTATGGAAACGAGGATCAAGGTGCTTACTCAGTGCTGGGCGTGGCCGAGGTGGTTGTCGGGTCGCAGAAAAATTACCGAAGATCCCAGGTCTCACCGAGGTGCAATCTGATTTGCGAGTATTCTCATCTTCCTTTCCCATTGGGCAGGACCGGGATTGGTAACATAGGGGCTTATATAACCACATGGACATTTGTACGAAGGATCATGTTGAGAAAACAGTTGGACATATAGGATATCTAATAGGTATATAAAATAAAAGTGCTTGAGGGTCAACATTCCTTCAGAACTTGTCTCAACACCGCCCAGGCTTTGCGTCTTTGAGCAGGAGCTTGTTGACAGGCAGAAGAATATTGATCATCCCCGCCCAACAAACATCTACTGATGTCTCTATGGCCATTGCCTCTGCGATCGTATTCGACTCTTCTGTCATCATAGTCGTCATCGTTGTTGTATATAATTACCATCCACCCAGTCCACTCAGGTAGCCAACACCCGCCCAAATACCAAAACTTCAAAACAGTAAGATGACGAGTGTGTGGTCATCAAGAAACAGTCTATAAAGTGCCAATCTAATTTGCTACTTCATACACGCCTTGATCACCTCCTGTTGTGCTCCCATGCCGGCAGCTCTTGCGGGCTGAAATGTTGGTTTTGACTGACCGGTGGCTTCCACTCGACTGGCGCTTCATAGACTTGATGCGGTGGAGGGCTTTGGTACTGAGGAGCGTATGAAGGAGCATAAGAAGGAGCCCTGTCTCCAACGACCTGTTCTCTAGCCCGCCTCCGTCGACGCAAGAAAAAGAACAGCCACACACCAGACGCTCCGAGGGCTAAGCCGCCGATCGATGCGCCGACGGCCGCCCCAATCGTTACGCCGCGGTCGCTCTCTGCGTCTGGCTGGTTTGTTGGGCTATTTGTCGGGCTCTGCGCGGCACTGCTTGTGATTATGGGGTTCTGGCTCGGTAGTCTCGACGGGTCTATTGTGGCAGCTGAGGTTACTGCAGATGTTGATGCCGATGCACTGAGCTCGGATGTTGTTGTTGTGGACGCTATCGAAGTTGTCGCCTCGACACCGATGGTTGTGATTGCGGATGCAGATTCTACGGGATGCGTCAGCCGGGTCGATAATGATGAGAAGACACGTCAACCTTGACATGCACGAATAGCAACTGAACTTACGTTGGAAGAACAAGACGTTCTGTTTGGCGGTGCAGTTGACCTGATCTTGGACCGAGTTGATGCAATAATACAACTCTTGCGTCGTACCTTGGCACTTGGCAACGCCTATCCCTCCTCCAACATTGTCGGTCTCTGGATTGATGCAGAACAACGGGCAGCTTGAACTTCGCCACGACCTGTCTGTGCAAGCTCCCCTAACGATTTCCGTGGCACCATCCTTTTGCAACTCCGAGCCTGTTGCCTGGCACATGCCGTTAGAGAGGCAAGCGTAACCCTGCCCGCAGCAAGTTGACTCGGCTATATCGTCTCGACATGGTGTATCGTTGGGGGCAATGCTACCGTTGGGATAATAGCATGCAGCCTCGATAAAAGCAGATGAAAATGAAAGGATTAAGATGTAAGACAGCAAAATGACGGAAATCATCTTGAGGAATCAAGAAGTCCAGAACTCCAGGGCCTAGACTCTGATTCAACGAGTAGCAAATACCATGAACTACCGGAGTTGGGAAGAAAAATTGCAGAGGGAATCGATGGCACGGAAGCCAACGTCCTCACAAAGACATGACTAGCTTATGAGCATCTTTCCCTTGCGTCGGGGCTGTTGGTGCGGATGGGACCATTGACCTAGTCGCACCACGCAACCAACTGTGTGACTGCTCAACCCACCTCGGCCGCCTGCTGAATCTTGAATGAGCGATCCAAGTCACAAACAATTTCTTGCCAGAAAGCTTGCTCGCACTGTCTCTTTTCCAGCCAAATACAGTGCATTCTGGTATGAAAAAACTGTCGTTGGTTGAAGGCGCAACGGATACGATTACGACCCCGTGATAGGTCAGCCAAGACAACATCCATGTCAAGACGATGGGGCTGATACGGCAGAAGACCAATTGAAGCCAGCGGTCCGTCCCGAGGATATGGTTCGGGCGTTAACTTACATGTAGATGAAATTGGTCCGGCGGTTGGAGTGCGTTTGCAATCGATCGGGCGGAGGAGGTGACACCTTGATTTATGCTTCTTTTTTGTTTTTCTCGCCTGCAGCCTCGAGTCTACTGGGAACGACAGCCCGAAGTACATCAGGTGAATGCTGAGTTCGTCTCACGTAAACTGGTCAGGCAAAGAGAGTTTGTGACAAGTACACGCTTCTCCTAAGTCGGGACAACGGCACTAGCTCCAATCATGACGAAGAAACGGAATTGGCCTGCCCCTGAGCAAACGCCAACGCGCCTTCCCGAAAAAGACAATGTATCCAACACCAACACAGCCGTTGGTTCCGCGCCCAGCACCGGGCAAAAGACCAGGAACGATCTTAACAGACCAGGGTCCGAGCCTCGTCTCATGTTACCGCCTCCCTATTACGCCAGTGATGTTCCCCCGCCAAGGCTATTCCCGCAGGGGTCCTGTCCAGAGTTGCAAACCAACCGTCATGAGGCAAGGGTGGCTCAAGCCGGCGTCTTCCCCCAACTTCCCCGTCACCCCGGACCTTAAGCGCCGAGCCCCCAACCTTCACTCCTCTCCGTTTTCCTGCTCCAAAAATAAGACACAACACCGACCGGAAGGGTTGATAAGGACAGAAATCCGGCCTGGCCGCTCGGCTCGAACGTCTTGAACCAACAAACTCTTTCCTTTTCGTTTCATCCTCCGAGTAAGGATGCTCCTCGCAAGGCGCAAAATGCCAGGCATCGTCCTCATCGGCTTGCCGGTCTCCGTCATTCTCCTACTCCTCTGGCACACGGACGGCGGCATCCCCAGCCTCAGATCGTCAGCTCAGGTGCCAACACCAATAGACTGGAAGACAGAATCATCAGATTACTACTTTTGGAAGACCGTCACGGTGCACAACCCGGCCCCGCAGCCGCTCCGTCCCCTCCCAACGTCGCCATCCGTCCGCTTCCCCCAGGTCCAGGCGACTTTCCCCCACGAATCAAGCGACCACCGCCGCGTTCGTGAAGAGCGTCAACAAACAGTGAAAGCCGCTTTTTCCAAAGCCTGGGCTTCGTACAAGGCGCACGCATGGCTCTCCGACGAACTCACCCCTGTGTCGGGCTCGCGCCGCAACACCTTCGGCGGCTGGGCCGCCACTCTCGTTGACTCCCTCGACACGCTCTGGATCATGGGCATGAAGGAGGAATTCGCCGACGCCGTCACCGCTGCCGAGACCATCAACTTCACGATGACCGACCTCCAGGAGGTTAACGTCTTTGAGACTACCATCCGCTACCTGGGCGGCTTCCTCTCCGCCTTTGACCTCAGCAACGACGTGCGCCTTCTTCGCAAGGCTGTCGAGGTCGGCGAGATGCTCTACAAGGCCTTTGACACACCCAACAGGATGCCCATCACGCGCTGGAAGATTAAAGACGCCATCGACGGCAAGGAGCAGTCCACGCCGAACGGCGAGCTCGTGGCTGAGATTGGATCATTATGCATGGAGTTCACCCGCCTCTCCATCTTGACCGGCGACCCAAAATGGTGGGACGCAACGCAGCGAATCATGGAAATCTTTGAGGCGCAGCAGAACAAGACCAAGATCCCGGGCTTGTTCCCACTCGTCGTCAACCCAGAGAAGAAGATCTTCTACGAAGGCGACGACTACACCCTTGGCGCAATGGCAGACTCCCTCTACGAGTATTTCCCCAAGATGTCCGCCCTTGTCGGCGGCCGCAGCGAGATGTACCGCACCATGTGGGAAACCGCTGTTGAGCCCATGATCACCCACAACCTCTTCCGGCCCATGACGCCGGCAAACGACGACATCCTCATTGCGGGCCAGGCGCACGCCCGCGACTCCGGTGTGGAGCTGGAGCCCCAGGGCCAGCACCTCGTCTGCTTCCTCGGCGGCCTCTTTGCGCTCGGCAGCAAGCTCTACGGCCGTGCGTCCGAGATTGACGTCGCGAGGAAGCTCGTGGACGGGTGCATCTATGCTTACAAAGTCTTCCCGCACGGCATCATGCCTGAGACGTTCTACATGGTCCCCTGTCCCTCCAAGGAAGAGTGCGCGTGGGACGAGTCCCTGTGGAAGAAGCACGTCAAGCAGCGCAACGACAAGGGGGATGACGTCGACCAGATCATCAAGGACGAGAAGCTTGTCAAGGGGTTCTCTGAGGTGCCAGACCGGCGGTACATCCTCCGCCCTGAGGCCATTGAGAGCGTCTTTGTGATGTACCGCACCAGCGGCGACGCGGCGCTTCTTGAGTCCGCGTGGGACATGTTCACGTCCATCGACAACGCGACGAGCACCGACCTCGCCAACACTGCGGTGTGGGACGTGACGGCGAATGGAAAGCCGCCGGCGAGCGATTCCATGGAGTCGTTTTGGATGGGCGAGACGCTAAAGTACTTCTACCTCATCTTCAGCGAGCCGGGACTCGTAAGTCTTGATGAGTTTGTCTTCAACACAGAAGCACACCCATTTAGACGATGGAAATAGTGTCCTCTTCCCGTATGTAAACTAGAACTTGTGTAATAGAACTCTTATGTACATCTACGTACTTACATTGCAACCTTTGGGTTAGCGAGTGTGTCTTGAGGGATGAAGTCCAACCTTCTAACTATGCATGCTCTACGCCTTTCCTGGCTTCCTACCATACACAATTTGCTTGCAAAGGTTAGTAACGAGATGCTTATCTGTTCCACCAAGGATCAAGCGACTACGTTTCAACACACCTATTCTGAAGAAAAGTAGTTGGACAATAGATAGGTAGACTTACACGTTCCAATATGCGTGGACCTTCCTGTTCTTCAAGTCCATACGCGCTTCCGCACAGAAGTCCAAAACCTCTTGTCGTGTCCAGCCAAGGGCGCGTGTAAACAAGCCCAGGGACAGCCCCTCTAGTGCCAAGTCGAGGTTGACGTAATGCAGCATACCAATCTCCTTGAGCTTCTTCTCTTTAGGCCATGAGTTTAGCGGCTAGGCGAACCTCTTTACAGTGACGTCAACGAAGCCGGCGGCGTGGATGGCGTCTACATGCTTCGATGGACTCTCGATGGAACGGCCGATGGCATTGCCGGCCTCGTACATGGTTTCGTGCCAGCGCATGAGAGCCGGGTACTCGAAGAGGGTGTTGTCGATGCAGCCGATCGGAAGCACGAAGCCTCCTGTCTCGAACCAGCCGCCGGGTTCCAAAGCCCTGATCGTGCTGGTGAGTAAATGCGTTGAAGTTCTGCAGGGGTCCACTCACTCGTAAATCTTATGAATGATGCTGACCGGGTGTGAAAAGGACCCCTCCATGGTCCGGCAGAAGATGAAGTCGAACGGTTTTGACCAGGCCCACCTCTTCTCCAGATCATCGATCTCAAAGCTGCAATTATTAGGGACCCTGGACAGCTTCAATGAGATCATTGCTTCAAACTTCGTGGACGTATGTAAGAGTACGCTTACCATTCTGGTTGGATCGGACTTAGATCCACGCCAATGACCTACTTGTAGGTTAGCTAAATGCACTGTTTACGTACCGCAGACGATTAGAACCTGTGCAGATGGGAAGGCGTCCGCTGTAACGAGCTTGTAAGTATACTAACACTCTTGATGAAAGACATCGCAGACCCTTTAAACAGGTAGTAATTGATATTAGAGAGGAACTTACCGTAGTCGATGGCCCAAATACCAGTTCCAGTACCCATATCCAAGACGTTCTTAGCCGTCTTGTGTGCTGGACATAGCGCTAGTTCACCGTCAAGTGTAAGGTTCCAGATGCGATGCTGTAACTCTGTTTTCATCAGAACATCGACATTGAACCACGGGGCTCGGAAGACATACCTAGACGGCTATTCTCTTCCTGATCACACCAATCAGAATCTTGGTCACGATCAGGTTCCCGAGATGGCATCACTTACATCATCGTTTGGGTAGTTATACTCTATCAAGCATTAGCGTAGCAAACTTGTAGTGAGGCAAGTGAAGACGCACTCCCTTCACTCATCGAATGGTAAGTCCTGCCATTCTCAAACTGGAACCTCTTGATTTCCGACTTAACAGAATACAGCGACGCTCTCTCAAAGTCCTGCAGCCCGAGCATAGATGTTAACGACAATTTTCTCATTTTCTGTGGATGCATTAACAACACAGAGTCAGTTCAAGAGAAGAATACTGACATCTTCTACCCCCAGCGCTTCGTCCACTTCAGTATCCTGCGCGTATTCACGTCAACTACACATTTCAATACCGTTTCGCTGAGCACCTAGAGGCTTACAAAGTCAGGGTCTGGCCCATCTATATCCTGCAGGTCTGAGGTCTGCATGATCGCACAGTGTGGTTGATGGATGGGATTACAGACGCAATGGAGGAATGCTGTAAGTGTGGTATCAAAAGTCAAATTCACATTGTTCAACAGCGACGCACAGCTCACTGGGCGCAAGCGGGATGAGGCAAATCAACACCCGATTAAATGTAAGAACGGAGAAGGCGCGAGAAGAAAACTAATGGTGGGGGAGAGGACTAGCGGAAACCGAAGTAATGTGGCGGCGACGACGGCTCTTAATTGCTTATACATTGTAGCACCAGAGCAGGGTTCCAGATCCCACGCACAACTGTCCCATCTTGCGTCTCTCTCTTTTCCTCTCAACATCACCTGCCCGCAACAGATTGTACTTCTGACGTTGTACGGAGCTTAAATGTGCCTATCGCAAAGCTACAGGTACTTGTTCACGGGGTTCCCGCTCAACTTGCACCAACAGCCAAGAGCCCGAACCGACGATGAATGCTTATTGGCCGGTATATGCGGTGCCTGGGTTTTGCCCGAGCATGATAGGATGAAGACTGCTAAAAATGGGGTGACGATTGCGGCGAGGTACATCGACCTGCACTGAAGGGTGAGTTTCATTGCGGCGCGTTCCAGCCGAAATGCTGCAAACGGCTGGATTTGGGGCTTGACAGGCTCCACTGGCCATCGGAGGACCGCCCGTCTCCCGATAGAACCAACAAAAGAAGATCACACCGCCAGTTTGGTTGGCTGAAGAGGGGATCACATTTTTGATAGAATGGGTGGAGCATCAACGGGTTATGTTTCCAATCCACCTGTGTCTGTATGGGTCGAATGGTTTCTGATGGGTCAGAACTTGCATCAACCGCTGTCCTCTGTCGGCACCTTATACCCCGATCACGGCGTACACGAGTACCTTCTCAGAGAGAAGATCTGCCTCGGCAGCTTGACTCTGTGTTACCATGACTTCTACTCTGTTGGTCGAGTTTCGATGTTATTGTTCTGTGCGACCCGGCCCACTTTGTCATTTTTCAGCCTCAACCTGGGGAAGACGTAGGATCTTGCATGTCGGGATCGGTGCAGGGCGGTGGATGTGACGGTGCAGATGCACTACCATGGATGCCATTGAAAGAATAGACCAGGCGGGAGATTTCTTCGAGCCCAGCAAGAGTAAGTCAGTATTCGTACGTATCTATGCATATAAACATGCGGGTATTTGTTTATGCTTAATTAATATTAGTCCGTCTTTGTCGACGGGATGGGCCGCATTCCCACCGAACACGAAAACGGCGACGCTCCGGGACTGTCTCACAACCGGCTTGTTCATGCCAGACCATTGTACGTCTGCACCACATCTCTTTCGGACAACTTTTATGGATACTTGAACCATCTACTTCCAAAAAGGGGAAATTCTCGCCGTCGGAGTAGGTGTGCACGGCTTAATTTTGCCACAAAGACGGATACTAAGTCGTGGCTCGGTCGCGTCTCTCTTGATAGCCACGCGCGTCTGAATGGGGCCGATTCATTTCCCTCCGCAACTTCATTTGGAGCTTTTGAGGCTAAACTCTGCCAGCCGAGTCACCGACCCCGGGAAACCAGTCAGCGGCAGGCGAGAACGCCGACGGTCCCGCAGCGGCCCCGCGACCGTTAGTGGGATCGACGTTCGGCCAACGTGGAAACTTCGCAGATCCACAAGTTCAGAGCGGAAACAGATGATCGTCTGCAGCCTATTTCGCCCGACGAGTCCGATCGCGAGATGAACCCGAGACATTCTCGGGCTTTTCTTTCTGTTTGTGTTTTCATGTTTGCTTGCCCTCGGCAGATCGTGTGCAGCATGCCCACAAGCAAAGACGGTCAAGTTTTCTTGTGCCATGGGTTTCTCACCTCCGTGGAACACGCGGTGGTATCTCCGATATCACGGACGGGGCAATGGCACTCGAGTCGGGGGAATGTTACGGGAGAACAGGGAACAGGTGCCGTCTCGTGACTTTCTTGCGGACCCGGACATGGACAGGTATGGTTGAGCCACGTTTGAGGCCTTTAACTGACCAATATGCGTGGGAAATTTCTGTCCGGGAATCTCAACATTGCCCCTGGCTTCTAGGACAAACAATAAACATGGACGGAAAAGCGCGCATACATTGCAGCCCAAGCCAAGCTGCACTGCTGCCATCTTCACGATGATGCCACGGCTTCATTCCTCGAAGCCCAAGGCACGATGCATGTGTCGGCGTGGGGGCCCAAATAGTAGACCCGCACTTCGGCTAGCTATCATGACTCGCCCCTGTCGATGGCCTCCTTTAACGGAAGGCGGAAGGCCTGCAAACTCTCCGTCCTTGGCCTTAATCTGAACCCGACCACTCAGCAGCATGGCTATGCACAATGTCTCAACGCAGAATCCGGGGCGGTGCTGTCGTTGGCCCTGTTCGCCAAGTGGCCGCGCCCTCTTTTGCTTGGAGCTGAACTTCAGCTGACAGAGACGTCAAAGGGCAAATGGGATGTCATAGCACAAGGATGGCGCCAACAGACAGACCGTCAACCTTGCCACTGTTTCAATATCCGAGCGTTACGAGCCATCAGAAAGCTACAGCCGAGCTTAAGAAATTAAACGAAAGCTTCCATCCGAGAAGGGACGAAGTAAGGAAGAAAAGAAAAAAAGTTGGCTGTGAAGCTGCTCCGCCCACGGCCCATGATGCATGGGCTTATCGGCCGGTAGCGAACCTGTTTCCTAATTCAGCCCTCGCTTGTGGAGCAAGGTTGCAATGCAGGCCCCCGACGTGTCCAATATTTCGCGTTGATGCTCATGTCACCCACGTTGATCTGATGGGATCTCAAATGTTTGAAATATAAGACCACCCATGGGATTACAATTATTTGGGAAGCGGGTTTTTTCTCTCTGCGCGGGTTTCCTGGAGGGTTTCGCTTTCGTTGACAACTTGCCCGTCATGGTTGGAATCACCCTTTCCCGTACGCTGGGGATTTTCTTGGGCCTCCTAACGGCCGTCAGGGCGGAATCCGCAACATGCAGCCAAGTCTCAACCGGCACTAGCATCCAGAAGTTCCAGGGACTCGACATCGGATACACCTCAGAACAGCTGAATTACTGGTAGGTTAACACTGTTTCTGGTGTCTGTTTTCTGTTTGTTCTGACGAAAGGTGTAGGTCCACGGCGTGCGGTAACCTTAAACCTGGATGCATCTTGGTCCCCACCAGTGCCGAAGAGGTCTCCGCCATCGTCAAGGTTTTGGGAACCAACAACGAGACTTTTGCCGTCAAGTCGGGAGGACACAACCCCAACAACTACTATGCCAGTGTGAAGGATGGCCCGCTCATCTCCACCAAGGGACTCAAGGAGGTCATCTACGACAAGGCGAGCAACACCGTTAGTGTGGGGCCTGGAAACAAGTGGGAGGATGTCCACGCCGCTCTCGACGGGACCGGAGTTACAGTCGTCGGCGGCCGCATTGGAAACGTTGGCGTCGGTGGATACTTGCTTGGAGGTACGACGGAAGGTCTGAGGACATTGAACGAGGATTGATGCTGATTTTAATTTGGTTTAGGCGGACTCAGCTTCCTGAGCACTCAGTATGGTTGGGCATCAAACAACATTGTGTCGGTCGAGATGGTTCTGGCCAACGGAACGATTGTCACCGCATCCAACACGACGAACCCCGACCTTCTTGCTGCTATCAAGGGGGGCGGCAATGCGTTCGGTATCGTAACCCGATACGTGTTGCAAGCTCATCCCATCGGTCAGGTAGGGACACACTCATCAGCTGGGACTTTGGAATTGGCACGGTCTGACACAACACTAGATCTGGGGCGGTAACTTGGTCTTCGGTGCCGATAAGACCGACAAGATTCTCGCAGCCATTCGCAACTTCACTGAGAACTACGACGACCCGAAGGCAGCCATCATCGCCACCTCCGAGCTTACCGTGTTGAACCTTGTCGACATCTGGATTCTGTTCCTCTTCTACGACGGCCCCGAACCTCCCGCCAACGTCTTCAAGGAGTTCCTCGACATCGGCCCGACCATCAACAGCTGCAAGTCCCGATCCTACACGGACCTTCTGACATCCAACAACCAGTTCGTCCTGAAGGGCAGCGTCTACACCATTGCGACCGAGACGACTGCCCTTCCTTCCGCTGCCGACGGAGCGAAGGTTATGCGTTCGTACTACGACCACTGGTACAACACGTCATCCGCGAAGGCTGGCGTCTTCGGAATGATTGCATCCATTGCCTTCCAGCCTATTCCAAAGTCCCTGCCCCGCATCGCACGTGAGAAAGGCGGCGATCTCTTGGACCTCGATGATGATGTCGACAGAATCATCTTTGAGTTTGATTACTCCTACGTTTCACAGCTTGATGACGCCACGATCGACAACACCATGGTTGACCTGTACTCCGGCATGAAGACTCGGGTGGATGGCTTCATTGCGGACGGCACCCTTCCGGACATCTACAGGCCACTCTTCATGAACGACGGCTACTTCCGACAGGATTACTGGGGGAGATTGAAGCCAGAGAAGCGAGAGCTTGCTCAAAAGGTTCGAGCGGAGGTTGACCCAACGGGCATGTTCCAGCAAAGGACTGGGGGCTTCAGATTGTGAGTTTTCCATCATGTGGAGCTGTGCGTCTCTGTTTACTGACATAACATTAGGCCTGCCTGAAGCTACAGAGAAGAGCTTGCCGATTAGGGTTAACTGTTCGATTCTTCAATGCTGGCCCTCAGGGTTCCAGCTGTGCTATCTAGCACGCACCATTTTAACGTTATTGTTGGTATAAATACATTAAGCAATCTGGCAGCCTGAAGTGCGTATTTACAGTGAATACCCTCTGCATCATGTGGTCTGTCAATGAAGAATGGGCACATCGGCCACTATGTTCTATCTTGTAAAATATTGCAACTGGTGCGAGCTGGTCGCACCGGAGGCTGGGCTTTCTAACTATTGTCTTCGGAGAAAGCAAAAGTAAGAGACGATTTTGTGGACCCCTGTTACCAAAAGGCTCGACTTTCCAGTGACTGTGAACTT